TTTGGATAAAAACATCTGCCAAATGGCATATATTATATTAATATATTAATGTTCCTTTCCTCTGGCCTTAGGTACGAAAGCATGTAAATGACCTGTATGAAGACCTACGAGATGGACATAACCTGATCTCACTGCTGGAGGTCCTGACTGGCCAGTCATTGGTGAGTACTGTGTTGTCATGGTAATGTAGCTCTAGCCTGTTATCATTCCTCATCATGTGTGCATGATGAGTCAGAGGGTATGTCTGAAATGGAACCCTATTCCGTAGGGAACTACTTTTTACCAGAGCCCATGCAAAAATACAAGATGGTGCCAACAGACATGACAGCTCTGCTTCTAGCTCCTAAGCAACTTTGCAGTATTTCGTTTTTTTGTCTTACATTATTAGCCCATAACGTTTTTTTTTCTTCTCAAATTAAAACAAGCATTTCGCTACACCCGCAATAACATCTGCTAAATATGAGTACACTACCGGTCAAACGTTTTAGAACACCTACTCATTCATGGGTTTTTCTTTATTTTTACTATTGTCTACATTGTAGAATAATAGTGAAGACAACAAAACTATGAAATAACACATATGGAATCATGTAGTAACCAAACAAGTGTTAAACAAATCAAAATATATTTGAGATTCTTCAAATAGCCACCCTTTGCCTTGATGACAGCTTTGCACACTCTTGGCATTCTCTCAACCAGCTTCATGAGGTAGTTCCCACATATGCTGCTTTTCCTTCACTCTGCGGTCCGACTCATCCTAAACCATCTCAATTTGGTTGAGGTCGGGGGATTGTGGAAGCCAGGTCATCTGATGCGGCACTCCATCACTCTCCTTCTTGGTCAAATAGCCCTTACACAGCCTGGAGGTGTGTTGGGTCATTGTCCTGTTGAAAAATATATGATAGTCCCACTAAACCCAAACCAGATGGGATGGCGTATCGCTGCAGAATGCTGTTGTAGCCATGCTGGTTAAGTGTGCCTTGAATTCTAAATAAATCAGACAGTGTTACCAGCAGAGCACCCCACACCATAACACCTCCTCCTCCATGCTTTACGGTGGGAACTACACATGTGGAGATCATCCGTTCACCCACACTGCGTCTCACAAAGACACGGCGGTTGGAACCAAAAATCTCAAATTTGGACTCCAGACCAAAGTACACATTTCCACCGGTCTAATGTCCATTGCTCGTGTTTCTTGGCCTAAGCAAGTCTCTTCTTCTCATTGGTGTCATTTCGTAGTGGTTTCTTTGCAGCAATTCCACCATGAAGGCCTGATTCACACAGTCTCCTCTGAACAGTTGATGTTGCGATGTGTCTGTTACTTGAACTCTGTGAAGCATTTATTTGGGCTGCAGTTTCTGAGGCTGGTAACTCTAATGAACTTATCATCTGCAGCAGCGGTAACTCTGGGTCTTCCATTCCTGTGGCTGTCCTCATGAGAGCCAGTTTCATCATATGGTTTTTGCGACTGCACTCGAAGAAACTTTCAAAGTTCTTGAAATGTTCCGTATTGACTGACCTTCATGTCTTAAAGTAATGATGGACTGTCATTCCTTTTTGCTTATTTGAGCTGTTCCTGCCATGATATGGACTTGGTCTTTTACCAAATAGGACTATCTTCTGTATACCCCCCCCCCCCCCCTACCTTGTCACAACACAACTGTTTGACTCAAACGCATTAAGAAGGAAAGAAATTCCACAAATTAACTTTTAAGAAGGCACACCTGTTAATTGAAATGCATTCCAGGTGACTACCTCATGAAGCTGGTTGAGAGAATGCCAAGAGTGTGCAAAGCTGTCACCAAGGCAAAGGGTGGCTATTTGAAGAATCTCAAATATAAAATAGTACAAATAAAGAAAAACCCTTGAATGAGTAGGTGTTCTAAAACTTTTGAATGGTGGTGTATGTGACCAATAATATTTGATATGATTTGATTTATAGGGAATAGGGTGCCATTTTTCATTGTGCTAGACAGTTTAATTTTGGAAATGTACCTGTGTTCTTGAAAGAAAAGTTAGAACTGAGATTTACATTATAGGCTATGGTTTGCCTTGCTGCTAAACCCCAAGGTAACACAATTAATTCCATTGTGTGATTATGATTTAACGTAAAGGGCGTTTCCATATATGAATCTGTACCCTGGTGCAGTATCACAGTGCCTTCATGAGAATTCTCCAAAAGTACAATTTGCTTCACACAATACATTTTTGTGAAAGTTCAGGGTCCACTTTACCAGACATATTATATAACTTTGTTGTTTATCAATCGGGTCCTAGATCCTGAACCTCTTGAGCAAGGACCAGAATTTATTTAGTTTTTACATACACTTAAAGTCCACATATACAGTATATCCTACATTTATAGTGTCAATCAGATATGTGAAAACGCCCCAAGACCATGTATGCTTCAAGGCTAGGGGGAAACTAACTGCAATCCCACTTGTCAAAAACTGGTTGAATCAACGTTGCTTCCACGTCATTTCAACCCAAAAATTCAATATGATGATGTTGACTCAACGTGGAAAACTGATTGGATTGGCAAAAAGTCATCAACGTAAGGGAATGTAGTATTTTTTTCACCGAACTTTTAATCTAAATCCAATGACAGGGTAACATTTTTGTTGATTTCATATTAGATTCACGTTAGTTGACAACTCAACCAAATTTAAATCAAAACTAGACGTTGAAGTGACGTCTGTGCCCAGTGGGATGCTAGTTTACAATGTTTGTGATGTCATTGTGTTCCAAACAAAACACTGCTTGATAGAAATGATGGATGGAAAGGAGAGGTAGACAAGGAATCTTGATTAAGGCTGTTTGTTATCACTTCAGTTCGGATCACTCAAAATGTCATCACATTAGAGCAGGCCTTTTCAACCCTGTTCCTGGAGAGCTACCCTTCCAGCTGTAACTAACCTGATTCAGCTTCTCAACCGGCTAATTATTAGAATCAGGTGCGCTAGATTAGCGTTGGCGCTCTCCAGTAACAGGGTTGGAGAAGCCTGCATTAGAATATGAAAATGAATCACAATCATTTCTGACTTTTGACATCACCGTTGTTTGGTGGTGTGCAGCAGGATCTCTGTAACTCATGTGAGGAGAAATTAGGTTCCCTCTAAAATAGGTGAAGCTGATTTTTCTCCTCGAAGTAGATATCTCCTTTCTTTTGTTTACATCCTGTTTCCTCTCTGCCCTCTTCCTCCTCTCTTCCATATTGGATGTTTCTTTCCTGTTCACTTTATGTCCTCCTTTTCATTTGTCCAACTTGTGTCCATGTCTATTTGTCTCCCACTTGTGTGTTTCTTTCCTGCGCTCACGTTAACTCGGTCTGGTAAGCCAAGGGAGCGTGATTTCCTCAAGACATTGCGGTTGGTGAGTTCGGCAGAAGCATGTGCGGTTGAGCAGCATGGAGATGCGCAGGATGATGATAAGGGGGTAGGTGTGGTTCGCCATCCTCCCCCTTGTAACACAACTAATGCAGCACGTTCCGTGGACATTAATGAGAGTGGAACAACAATCCCACCGCAGGCTTTTTACTTTAGTGGACCCTAGTAAGCACTATAGCAATCCGTTTATATGGCTAGGTCAAGTTTTCTTTCTCTTAGATTCTATGATAAAAGTTTGTGCGCAACACTGTGCTTGATGCTGCTGTGTAGAATAGGGAGTAGCCCCACTGTATTGCTTTAGAGATGCTAGCTGACAAGCTGATATGGATTCCATGATGGAAATGTGCTTGGCTTATGAGCTAAAGGCCCAGGCTCATGTTCAATTCATTGGGTTTTTTCAACAACAAAAAAACGGTGGTATTGTGCATGCCATTGTAAAGTGAAAGAGAAACACCATGCACTTCAGTCTTGGATAGGATTGCAAGCGCTGGTACAACTCAATCATATTGTTATGTGATTCATAAGATCTCCGCCTGGGTCTTTAAGTCCAACCTCAATAGCTTTGTGCATCATTGAACCATACAATCAAACTGAATGTCAACCTTTATGAACCATTGGACATTTTTCATCAAATAGTGGCTTTCTATTGTATTCAGTGTATACCAAAACAAAGCCACTTGACTGAACGTGCCAAATTAAATGAGAGTGAGCCGTTGAGGACAAGGCTTTTGTGAATGTTGTCACTCCGCCATTGAGGTGAAAGGGATTCCTCCGCCTCTTGGCCAGCCAGGAGAGTAATGACTGAATCCAGAGGGCTGTGCTGCAGCTCAATCCTGGGTTGTCAGGGGACTGGCTGGCTTGTGACGCAGTTTCCATCTCATTACCTCACGCTGTGACCTCCCATTGTCCACGGGTGTCTGTCACAGGAGTTTGTCTCTCTGCTCAGTCGTGTCCTGAATTCACATTCTCAGGTGTTTTACCGCACAGCTAAATTAATCCTAGATGCTTTTTGGATTTAGAAAATGTATTTATTGTTTGTTTCAATGGTCCTCATTGGAATGAGTTTATCACTCAGACCCACTTGTTTATAGCTTCATGTTTAGCCTTTTGTCATTAGTTATTACTGTAGTTGTGAATGGTGAAATATGTCAGATGATGTGTTCTGTCAGTTCAGTTTGGGAGGACATAGATAAATGTATTTTCTATCTAGTAAATACATTGTGTAGTAATAGCAGTGATTTGTAGCAGGTCAATTCCACGATAACAGTGACACTGAGAGAGACTCAGATTTTTCGATTTAAAATGTATGTCAAACAAAAAAGAATGAAGAACTTGAAGAAAAGTGCAGATGCAAAGTTTGGTAAGAGAATGTTCTTCAAGTAAATGTGTTTTTGTAAAATGTTCAGTGGAAATTGTTAAAAGTAATTATTGTGCATAGAGTTGTATGGTTTGTTTTACTTTGCAATCATTGGTTTTTGTTTGACATACATTTTAAACTGTAACATGTGAGTCTCAGTGTAACTCTGTTAACGTGGAATTGGGCAGCAATGACCACCCTGGATCCGGATTTGTTGGTTCCCTCCCTTTTGTTTTTTTCTCGCATTCCCTCAGCAGACGAGTGGGTAAGACCCTGGCAGCAGCATTGCCTGTGTCCTCATACTACTAATGGTGTGGTGAGTCCCTGGTCCTTGGAAAGGGAGAGACCACATGGCAAAGTCACTAACATGTCCCCCTCTTCCCATTCCTCCTCTATGCCCACAGCCTCGGGAGAAAGGGAGGATGCGGTTCCATAGACTCCAGAATGTACAGATAGCACTGGACTTCTTAAGGAGGCGGCAGGTAAGAACCAATCACATGTGCCGGAATGCTAGAACATAAAATGTGTAGAGGAATTTCTGTTAACCAATTCGTCATGTAAAGCTATTAAACAAGCATACTGTATGTCCAGGGAGATTGTTAAAGATTGACTTCGAAATTGGACGTCTATCCATGTCCTGAGGTCATCGGAAATGCCTTCAAAACCGACCACTAGGGGCAACAGTGAGCGCTATTACAATCAAGTAGGCTAGTGCATGGGCGGGGATGGGCGTAATTCCATGACTCTGGATCAGAAGGTTTCATGTTCAATCCCAGTGGGGGAGGGGACACTGTTTTAACCCTATACCAAACCTTAACCCTTACCTTAACCATTCAGAATAACTGCCTAAACTTAACCCTTAACTTCGAAATTTGATGTTAGAAGAAATGGAACGATACAGAGCGGCAGGAGCAACCAAGGGTGTCAAAAACACTTCGAAAATGGACGTTTGGAGCAACTTCGAAATGTTATGTTTGAAGAAAAGTGAATAAACGTCTAATTCTGCAGTGAGACAGTGAGAGCGTGTTGGTACTGTATGTCCACATCAAAACGGTAACACTGCTCATACATGACAGGGCTAGCCAATATCATTACCTCATAAAGGCTTCAATACCGCCCTCATCGGGACTTAATAGAGGACATGCGGAAACCATCTCCCAAGGGTGATTACGTCTCTGTTTGGCCCTCCCCCACATCCACCACAGTCAGGAAGTGATAGGGATGGAGAACAGTGTGCAGTGCTCAGCGACAGCCTGCCAGACATGACGTCAGTGAAAGCAACCCAAGGCCTGAGACAAAGGATTCATAGATCATTCAATTATGCCATTGTTTTAATGACACACCAGGCCCCAGTCACACTTCATTCATATTCATAAACAGACAAATTACAATTTCACTTGCCTTTGTTCTATCCTGCTGTGGATGTAAGGCTAGAAAGTATCATACTTAGGGTAGATGTGCCATCACAATTCTAATGAACTGTGGGAAGGGATAAGATTGGATGTTACAAACAGCTATGCCCATGTAAATTGCCTTTGTTTCCAGTTTCACTATTGCTGAACAACTGAATCAGAAGAATTCAGTGCATAATCAAATAAAGTTGCATTTATTTCCGCTCATGACAGGGATTGTCATGCATATCAATTAAAGGCAATGTTTTAAACATCAGGGTGTATTCAATCAAATTAGGTTGAAAGCCAGCACAGTAGCAGTTTCAGACAATCAACTACAATACAAATACTTTGCATATGGAATGATGAATGTAGACTATGTTTGAATGTTGGGAACAATATTAAACTGCATTAGTTTATTAGAATGACAACATGACATCACATTCATTGTGTACCAGTACATAAACCACCACACTATAGAGCCCCATTGTGGTGTATACAGTGAGGGAAAAAAGTATTTGATCCCCTGCTGATTTTGTACGTTTGCCCACTGACAAAGACATGATCAGTCTATAATTTTTATGGTAGGTTTATTTGAACCATGAGAGACAGAATAACAACAACAAAATCCAGAAAAATGCATGTAAAAAATGGTATAAATTGATTTGCATTTTAATGAGGGAAATAAGTATTTGACCCTTCTGCATAACATGACTTAGTACTTGGTGGCAAAACCCTTGTTGGCAATCACAGAGGTCAGACGTTTCTTGTAGTTGGCCACCAGGTTTGCACACATCTCAGGAGGGATTTTGTTCCACTCCTCTTTGCAGATCTTCTCCAAGACATTAAGGTTTCGAGGCTGACGTTTGGCAACTCGAACCTTCAGCTCCCTCCACAGATTTTCTATGGGATTAAGGTCTGGAGACTGGCTAGGCCACTCCAGGACCTTAATGTGCTTCTTCTTGAGCCACTCCTTTGTTGTCTTGGCCGTGTGATTTGGGTCATTGTCATGCTGGAATACCCATCCACGGCCCATTTTCAATGCCCTGGCTAAGGGAAGGAGGTTCTCACCCAAGATTTGACGGTACATGGCCCCGTCCATCGTCCCTTTGATGCGGTGAAGTTGTCCTGTCCCCATAGCAGAAAAACACTCCCAAAGCATAATGTTTCCACCTCCATGTTTGACGGTGGGGATGGTGTTCTTGAGGTCATAGGCAGCATTCCTCCTCCTCCAAACACGGCGAGTTGAGTTGATGCCAAAGAGCTCCATTTTGGTCTCATCTGACCACAACACTTTCACCCAGTTCTCCTCTGAATCATTCAGATGTTCATTGGCAAACTTCAGATGGCCCTGTAAATGTGCTTTCTTGAGCAGGGGGACCTTGCGGGCGCTGCAGGATTTCAGTCCTTCACGGCGTAGTGTGTTACCAATTGTTTTCTTGGTGACTATGGTCCCAGCTGCCTTGAGGTCATTGACAAGATCCTCCTGTGTAGTTCTGGGCTGATTCCACACCGTTCTCATGATCATTGCAACTCCACGAGGTGAGATCTTGCATGGAGCCCCAGGCCGAGGGCGATTGACAGTTATTTTGTGTTTCTTCCATTTGCGAATAATCACACCAACTGTTGTCACCTTCTCACCAAGCTGCTTGGCGATGGTCTTGTAGCCCATTCCAGCCTTGTGTAGGTCTACAATCTTGTCCCTGACATCCTTGGAGAGCTCTTTGGTTTTGGCCATGGTGGAGAGTTTGGAATCTGATTGATTGATTGCTTCTGTGGACAGGTGTCTTTTATACAGGTAACAAACTGAGATTAGGAGCACTCCCTTTAAGAGTGTGCTCCTGATCTCAGCTCGTTACCTGTATAAAAGTCACCTGGGAGCCAGAAATCTTTCTGATTGAGAGGGGGTCAAATACTTATTTCCCTCAGTAAAATGCAAATCAATTCATAACATTTTTGACATGCGTTTTTCTGGATTTTTTTATTGTTATTCTGTCTCTCACTGTTCAAATAAACCTACCATTAAAATTATAGACTGATAATTTCTTTGTCAGTGGGCAAACGTACAAAATCAGCAGGGGATCAAATACTTTTTTCCCTCACTGTAGGTGTGGACTAGGATTTATTGGCACCGCTTCAATTGCTATTTGTATTTATTATGGATCCCAGACTCTTACAACATTAATGCAGTTATATACCATTTAGAATATTACATGACATTACATTTCATAACACTTTACCCAATACATTTAGTGTGTTCCCTCAGGCTACTACTCCACTATCACATATTTACAATACAACATCCATGTGTACGTATGTGTAGAGTGCGTGTCTTATCATGTGTATGTGTGTCTGTACCTGTGTGTGTGTCTCTTCACAGTCCTCGCTGTTCCATAAGGTGTATTTTTATCAGTTTCTTTAAATCTGATTCTACTGCTTGCATCAGTTACCTGATGTGGAATAGAGTTCCATATATCCATGGCTCTATGTAGTAATGTGTGCCTCCCATAGTCTGCTCTGGACTTGGGGACTGTGAAGAGACCTTTGGTGGCATGTCTTGTGGGGTATCCGAGCCGTGTGCTAGTAGTTTAAACAGACAGCTCGGTGCATTCAGCATGTCAACACTTCTTACAAATACAAGTAGTGATGAAGTCAATCTGTCCTCTACTTTGAGCCATAAGAGATTGACATGCATATCATTAATGTTAGCTCTCCGTGTACATTTAAGGGCCAGCCGTGCTGCCCTGTTCTGAGCCAATTGTAATTTTCCGAGGTCCCTCTTTGTGGCACCTGAACATACGACTGAACAGTAGGGTCTCAGGTAGCTTAGTGGGTAAGAGCGTTGTGCCAGTAACCGAAAGGTCGCTGATTCTAATCCCCGAGCCGACTAGGTGAAAATCTGTCGATGTGCCCTTAAGCAAGGCACTTAACCCTAATTGCTCCTGTAAGTCGCTCTGGATAAGAGCGTCTGCTAAATGACAAAAATGTAAACGTAAATGTAGTCCAGGTGCAACAAATCTAGAGCCTGTAGGACCTGCCTTGTTGATAGTGTTGTTAAGAAGGCAGAGCAGCGCTTTATTATGGACAGACTTCTCCCCATCCTAGCTACTGTTGTAGCAACATGTTTTGACCATGACCGTTTACAATCCAGGGTTACTCCAAGCAGTTTAGTCACCTCAACTTGCTCAATTTCCACATTATTTATTACAAGATTTAGTTGAGGTTTAGGGTTTAGTGAATGATTTGTCCCAAATACAATGCTTTTAGTTTTTGAAATATTTAGGACTAACTTATTCCTTGCCACCCATTCAGAAACTAACTGCAGCTCTTTGTGAAGTGTTGCAGTGATTTAATTCGCTGTAGTAGCTGACGTGTATAGTATTGAGTCATCAGAGGGTGGTAGCACTAGCAGATGGAGAGAATCTGTTTTGGGGATTTCCAAGAAGATAGACATTACCCTCAGAATATTTATGCATATTTATGTTAATTAGGATTTCTAAATGACCTGTTACAGTGAGTACGACACTAATACTGATGAACAAATTCCAGTTGAAGACATATTATTAGGTTTTGAAAAATAGAGACATCTTCAGCAGTTCTTCAGGGATGTTAACCTTAGCGTGCTAAGAGTAAAGGTGCTTTGCGAATTGATATGAAACATTTCTTATACTGTAGAAGTTGATGAAGGTTTGGAATGCATCACTTGTGTGTTTCATGCTTATTACATAGCTGTTTATAACTGTTGTCCTCAGGTCAAGCTGGTTAACATCCGGAATGATGACATCACAGATGGGAATCCCAAATTGACGCTGGGATTGATATGGACCATAATTCTGCATTTTCAGGTCAGATTCAGTCTCAAATCACACATGCTGTGCACTTCATTCTCTGGCTGTGTGAATCACTGTGCTCGATCCTTTCTCAATTTCTCCATATTTTTTACTCAGCAAATAAGAATCAGTGGATGGGAATATTCCAGTGTGTTATTATTGTTAATTTGGTTTATGATTAGGATGACATGTCATGCATGGAGCTATGAGATGTGGTTATTGTTTAGACCAAAGTAAGATAGTTGTCATTTAAGGGGTTCTGGATTGAGGTATTATGTCTCTCTTAAATCTACAGTAAATTCTAGTATATTGAAGCCAGTGTGATTGAAAAGCTAGCGTGTTGCTTAATCTCAATACAGCACCGCATGTTTTGGGATTAGCTTGCATAACATACTGTGGGACGTTTGGTTCAGTTTGAACAATCTAAACTGTCAGTTTCTCCTTGTATAGCTGTTGTTCCTTCTTTGGCCACAAGATGTCAAAGCAGTCTTAACAAAGTGTCATGCCAATGGGTATTGTAATGTAGGCCTACGTCTATGTCTGATTGCCTGCTGGCACATACATGCCCCAGTTATAATGGCTGTTAAAAGTGATAGAATAAGAAGGATGACCTACTCTGTACATATTTTATTGATGACTGGTGATTGAAATGTGTCGATATTCACTTAGGGTAGTAACGGGTCTTTCAAGTTCTCCACTTACAAATGTAAAAGCTCCCCAGTGAAATCACCCGGTGACAATGACAGGTGGATGTTGAAAATGGTGTTGCAATAGCCTGATTAGTAACCTTGCTGGACACTTGAAGACTTGCACTCGCTCCCCGAGCTTAATGGTTATCTGAGCTGAAATGGTCATTAGGTCTGTGTACTGTTAGTGCTTCAGTGGAGGGAAGAGGTTGGACATTACAATGCAAACAACATGTCCCTCCCTCCAGTGTTATGTATTGTGTGATGATAAGTGCAGGAAAATAGATCGTTTTTATTAGAGGAAGTGTCCCTTTATTCAGCCTGACTATCGCCTAAAGTTCATCTGTTTTCAGTGTCCCTCCTTCCAGTGTTTTCACAGGCCCCACACCCTGAGAACATTTGTGCCCATGTCTGTCTAGTACCACACAGACTGTCTTGCTGCAGCTGTACATTCACATGGAAACAATGGATGCATTGTAGTCATTTAGCAGACACTCTTATCCAGAGCAACTAGGGTTATGTGCCTTGCTCAAGGGCACATTGACAGATTTTTCACCTAGTCAGCTCAAGGATTCAAACCAGCAACCTACATACACACGCCTGCACAATAGGGGGTGGATGGTACCATCAGTAGCAGCACTAGGAGGATCTATTGTTGCCTTTCTGAGGCCTAGTGAAGCACACACTGCTAGTTCTCTCTCTCTCTCTCTCTCTCTCTCTCTCTCTCTCTCTCTCTCTCTCTCTCTCTCTCTCTCTCTGTCTCTCTGTCTCTCTGTCTCTCTCAGGCCCCTGCTATGGATTATTAATATATCTGGCACAATATATCTGGCACACTGCTAGTTATCTCTCTCTCTCTCTCTCTCTCTCTCTCTCTCTCTCTCTCTCTCTCTCTCTCTCTGTCTCTCTGTCTCTCTCAGGCCCCTGCTATGGATTATTAATATGGATCATTTTGGATTTGAGATCAAATGTCACCTTTTATTTTAGGATATTTTCATACATATCAGTTTTACCGTTTACTAATTAATGCACTTTGTGTATTTAGTCCCCCCATTTGAAGGTGTCATAAGTATTTGGACAAATTCACTTATACAGTATATTAAGTGTAGTCAAAAGTTTAGCATTTGGTCCCATATTCCTAGCACGCAATGACTACATCAAGCTTGTGACTCTACAAACTTGTTGGATACATTTGCAGTTTGTTTTGGTTGTGTTTCGGATTATTTTGCGCCCAATAGAAATGAATGGTAAATAATGTATAGTGTCATTTTGGAGTCACCTTTATTATAAATAAGAATAGTATATGTTTCTGAGATGCACAAAGACCATGCCCCCAAAACATGCTAACCTCTCACCATTACCAATAACAGGGGAGGGTATGATATATTTATGCTTCTGTAACGTCCTCAGTCATAATTTATGTTACAAAACCGATTAACTAGCCTGCTAATATTGTTTGATTCGCTAAGCCTAGGGGTCTTAGGCCTAGTTAACTGGTCTGTAACCTGATTTGATGTATGCATAAATATGAGAAGTAAGCCTATGCAACCAGGTGTTGAATGTACATGCGCCCAGGAGACAGCCACCTTCCCTTAGGGCCAGCTCCTTCTTCACCTCTTGGTCGGCCAGTCAAAGCTGATTATTATTTGTTCAGATGGTGACGAAACCTAAATATGTACGAAAAGGTTGTGCCCAAACTAAAGACTCATAACCAAACGAAAGGCCTCATAGCCACCAATGAAAATCAGCAGCTTCACAGCCTTTCCAGCTGGGACTCTCACTGACTTTCTCCTTGATTGGCTGCACCTGATGTGCTTATCAACCAGGCTCAGCACCTGGACAAGGTTGCTGCTGCCCCCTGGGGGAATGGAGTGTGGAAGTGGTAGTGAGCTGTAGTGTGATCTCTAAACTACCCTATTCCCTAACATTATCCACGCTTCATTCATGATTGTCCGTAATCATGGTAGCATCCACATTAATGTAGTGTTCAGAAAAATATTATATTCTTATTTACGATAAAAGTGACTCCAAAATGACACAATGCACTATTCACCATTCATATCTATTGGGCGCAACATAATCCGAAACTAATTCAAAGAAAAGGTGACATTATGTACTGTCGCCTCATATATAACGTTTGATTTCATATCCAAAATGCTGGAGTATAGAGCCAAAGTTTTAGCTTCACTGTCCAATTAAATACATAGGGGAGTGTATTTCTCCATAAGTGTACAATACCAATTCAAAAGACAGAGAGCAGCGTTGTAGTGTCCAGTTGCATGCCTCAACATCTCTCCTGTCTCTCCTCTATTGCCTGGACACCCCAGACTCCATGAGGTCTGGTAAAAACAAAAAGAGACTGAATAATTTGAAAGTGATTCGTTTGAAGTTCCTGTTGAAGAAGGACAAATATGGCAATAATGAAAGAATGTTCTAATGCTTGGAATCATAAAACATACTGCCAGGTAGCTAGCGGGATGTGTGCCTACACCTGCCCCTGTCACTCTTGCGCATGCCGCTGGGAATTTGTACTAGCTAGTGACTGTGGGCCTGTAGCTTCTTGATTTTTCAGCGTTGCCGGGCAGTTGGAAAACATGTTGATCAGTTCAGTGTGGAGTTAAAACCCAGCTGGCAGGGCCTCCTGAGTGGTGCAGCGGTCTAAGGCACTGCATCGCAGTGCTAGAGGCGTTACTACAGACCCGGGTTCATTCCCGGGCTGTGCCACAACCGGCCGTGGCCGGGAGTCCCATAGGACGGCACACAATTGGCCCAGCGTTGTCCGGGTTAGGGGAGGGTTTGGCCGGGGGGGACTTTACTTGGCTCATCGCACCCTAGCGACTCCTTGTGGCGGGCCAGGTGCCTGCAGGCTGACCCCGGTTGAACAGTGTTTAATTTTACATTTTAGTCATTTAGCAGACGCTCTTATCCAGAGCATTTACAGTTAGTGAGTGCATACATTTTCATACTGGCCCCCCGTGGGAAACTAACTCACAACCCTGGCGTTGCAAGCACCATGCTCTACCAACTGAGCTACACAGGGTTTCCTCCGACACATTGGTGCGGCTGGCTTCCGGGTTAAGCTGGCGGGTGTTAAGGAGCGTGGTTAGGCGGGTCATGTTTCGGAGGACGCATGACTCCACCTTCGCCACTCCCGAGCCCTTTGGGATGTTGCAGCGATGAGACAAGATCGAAATTGGGGGTAAAATACAAAAAAAAATACAGCTGGCAGAAAAGCAGTGTGACATAGTGATGAACCCAACCCTGTTTTGATGCTACGTGACTCTATCGGAAAGATTTTGGGAGGAGCAAGTTGCTATTACCTTTAGTAGGATGGTCCAGCCATTCAGTCATTATCGTCCAATGGCATTGTGTTAATTATATGATATATTTCCTTTTAGGAATGTCATCTGTCATTCATCCATCACCTGCTATGGTATGATAGGAAGTGAAGCTATAGACTGTAGCGATTGAAGCATTCCAGATTGTTTTGTTGAGAATTGGTTTACAAAGGCAGTCTCCCAGGTGTGTTTACATGATGTATACAAGAAGTCCCTGCTGTAATCACTACAATAAGAAGCATATTGCACATCCGCAGTGAGACCTGAATACACTGCCGTGATGATGCAGTTAGACCTAAATACACTGCCATGACGATGCAGTGAGACCTGAATATAATGCCATGACGATGCAGTGAGACCTGAATATAATGCTGTGATGATGCAGTGAGACCTGAATACACTGCCATGACGATGCAGTGAGACCTGAATATAATGCCGTGACGTTGCAGTGAGACCTGAATACACTGCTGTGACGTTGCAGTGAGACCTTAATATACTGCCATGACGTTGCAGTGAGACCTGAATACACTGCCGTGACGATGCAGTGAGACCTTAATATACTGCTGTGACGTTGCAGTGAGACCTGAATACACTGCCGTGACGATGCAGTGAGACCTGAATACACTGCCATGACGATGCAGTGAGACCTAAATATACTGCCATGACGATGCAGTGAGACCTGAATACACTGCCGTGACAATGCAGTGAGACCTGAATATACTGCCATGACGATGCAGTGAGACCTGAATAAACTGCCGTGACGATGCAGTGAGACCTGAATACACTGCCATGACGATGCAGTGAGACCTGAATATACTGCTGTGATGTTGCAGTGAGACCTGAATACACTGCCATGACGATGCAGTGAGACCTGAATATACTGCTGTGATGTTGCAGTGAGACCTGAATACACTGCCGTGACGATGCAGTGAGACCTGCATACACTGCCATGATGATGCATCATCATATTGTAGCTCTTTGGTCTCTACAGTGTCATCTGACTGACAGTCAAAGTCTCCAAGGGTTACGCTCAAGGTCCTGTCAGTTGTCTCAATAAACTGGGGGCCGGAGAGGCACACGAAAACCAATCTCGCTGACAGAAACCAATCTATGGAGGCTTTGGACTTGTTTCACCAGGGGACATACTACATGTGATAGGATTGAGTCTGCCATCTTACTTTAATGAACATGTCTCTCTCTCTTCCCTCCTTCTCTAGCCTTCGTCATCTGAAGATCCAACAAGAGATTAAAGACAGGCATTTGCTGGGAGCGCTTACATCCTGTTAGACGGGTGAATAAAAAGGATGAAAGGTTAAAGTAGGATGATGTTGCAAAAAAAAACATCTGAGATGAGTCAGTGAAATATAGGCCTGTATTTTAAGACTTTATTCAATGCTGGAAGACTGTAATTATATTTTCCACATTGGTTTGCACGGAATGAGAAATTACAGTATGTCAAAACTCAGATATTATTTAAACACCACATGAATATATATATATATATATATATATATATATATATATATATATATATATATATATATATATATATATATATACTGAACAAAAATATAAACGCAACATGGAACAACTTCAAAGATTTTTCTGAGTTACAGTTCATATAAGGAAATCAGTCAATTTAAATAAATAAATTAAGCCTTAATCTATGGATTTCACATGACTGGGAATACAGATCTGTTGGTCACAGATACCTTAAACAAAATGAGCCTCACAATGGGCATCAGGATCTGGTCACGGTATTCAAATTGCCATTGATAAAATGCAATTGTGTTTGTTGTCCGTAGCTTGTGCCTGCCCATACCATAAACCCACCGCCACCATGGGGCACTCTGTTCACAACGTTGACATCAGCAAACCACTCGCCCACACGACGCCATACACGAGGTCTGCGGTTGTGAGGCCAGTTGGATGTAATGCCAAATTCTCTAAAACAACATTTTGGTAGAGAAATGAACATTCAATTCTCTGGCAACAGCTCTGGTGGACATTCCTGCAGTCAGCATGCCAACTGCATGCTCCCTCAAATATGAGGCATTGTGTTGTGTGAAAAAACTGCACATTTTATAGTGGCCTTTTATTGTCCCCAGCACAAGGTGCACCTGTGTAATGATCATGCTGTTTAATCAGCTTCTTGATATGCCACACCTGTCAGGTGGATGGATTATCTTAGCAAAGGAGAAATGCTCACTAACAGGGATATAAACAAATTTGAGAGAAATAAGCTTTTTGAGGCTATGGAACATTTCTGGGATCTTTTATTTTAGCTCATGAAACATGGGACCAACACTTTACATGTTGTGTTTATATTTTTGTTCAGTGTATATACACACTAACATATAAAGCAGATTTTCCATGAAAGTAAATATAGGCTGCTCTTGTGTTATGGTTGATCAAGTAGTTTGGCTTTTGTGCAGTATACTGTGTATTTCGAATGTACTGTAGCCAGCCAGGTATACAGTATGTCAACTGCAGGGCCTAGCAATGGAACCTTCAGGGGAAATGTCACTGCCGTCAGAATAGTGTCAGAGCCTGGTGGACAGTTCTTTTTAGTTGGGCTATGCAAATAAATGATTTCTACTATTTCAATAAACGCTTTTCCTGAGGCCTTGCCAATTTAACTATCTGTCAACTCACTGGTGATAGTTAGGAACATTTAGTTGAATATACTAAACAGAAATCACAAGCTTTATATGCCTTTCATGGACCGTACTTGCTACACAAGTCACATATATAATTACATATAATCTATGTGTGTTCTATAGGTCGTATAGTATAGCTGGTAAATAGTTTTTGTTTAAACCTTTGGACTCAAGCCCCACTTCTGGCTTTGCGATTGTATACAGATAGACAAAGTGATAGTGCGTTGTTAGCTGCCAGGATTTGCGTCGACTGCTTTTGTTGACCCATGCTGTCCTGTTATTTTAAAAGCCCCTATGATAGGCAGGGATTCTCTCTGCTTGGTACGGCCTATCAGGGCAGACCAACTTGCTGAGCAAAGTTTTCCCATACGGTATAATCAGTGGCCATCAGCCGGCAGAGCAGACACCCGCCAGCCATCTGATCTTGTCCTGCTGTTCTCCCTCTCTGCCAACCCTGCCCCCCTCAGACAGGCAGCCTCGTTACAGACAGATACATTTGGGGAAATTTAGTTTAGTTTCAGTTAGTTTAAAATCTAATTTACTTGTTTTTATTTAAAGTTATATAAAAACATTTATATTTGTTTTTTATATGATTTAGTTTCAGTTTTAGTGTTAGGGACAGAAAGTAGCCTATACGTGGGAGGCTAGTAATGGGCCAGTAATGCATAAGGCAGTGGTATTCAAAGTCAGGGGCTGTTTCTCTCTCTGTCAGCTGTGAGGTAGAATCGTTTGGGACGTGGCTGTGCCTCTTCTTCTCCGGTGGTGCATTTATGGTGTTTGTGTTGGATTAGCCGGGCCAAGGAAACATTTCAAAGGTTAGAGACTTAGAGGATTCCTAAGAGCAGAGCAGTCGAGAGGAGAGGAGAGCAGTAACGGAAGAGAGCAGTGACGGAAGGAAGTGCCTGGGACATCTCAACTTTGTTCTTCTGGGAGTCTGCGACAGACAGGCAGGCATACGGACAGACAGACAGACTCTCTCTCCCCAGGCAACCCATCTCTGTGTGGAGGGGAGGGGTGTTTGGGTCTGTTGCCGGGCTGCCTGCCATCACTTCCTCTCCGCCCCCTTGGAGGAGAACTATGGCTGCCTCTCAGTGGAATAATGGAGCTCTGGATCAAGTTAAGTTCACTAGCGGAATCCCGGCGTGAAAACTACAGTTAGAAGGAACTAAACACCGTTTATAGAAAGGGTAATGGGCAACGTGTGTGGCTGTGTGCGGGTCCCCAAGGAGGAATGTTATGTGGACCCCACCAAAGCTCCGCTCAGCCCCAAGTCCAAAGAGCTCCGTGGCCGGCGCTACTTTCAAAGGAAGAAGAAGAGGAAATTGGGGGAGTTTCAGCGGCCGGAATCACTCCGGAGCCTAGGGGGAGAGAGGGTCCAGAGTGAGGAGGATATCCCCAGGAGGGTAGAGCTCCAGCATGAAGCAGACATGGGCATCAGGGAGAGCCAGGTTGGGATGGAGGGAGCACCGGAAGGGGAGACACCCAGACCCAGGCCAAATGTTGGGGAGGTCCACAAAGTTCCTCTTGGGAAGAAGTTAGCATTGCAGTCGAGCCAAATTTCAGCACACCAGACAGACAGAGAGGCAAAGCTCCATGGCATCACCAAGACCTCCAGGAGTATCGCTCCTAAGGACGGCCTGCTGGAAAAGAAGCTGCCACATAAGAAGTTGAGGCGGGCAGTGACATTCGGAGCCGTGGAGCATATGGTCCAGACCCTGAGAGGAGACAACGACAGATCGGGGAACCTAGAAGAGCTCCCCAAAATCATATGGAGCACTCAAGTTCACAAGAGGAGGAGGGCCCACACCTGCTATTTCGGAAGAGGGTCCCTCTCTCCAGATTATCTGGCGTCTTTCCAAGCATCTGCAAAGTGTACATCCGCCCAACAAGAGGTAAACCAAGCACAAGCTATTTATAGCCAGCCAATATGTGTGGACTAAAATGTAATGTGCTACTGTATCAGTAGCCTGCTATTGTAACAATGGCCATAACTACATATGAGGACACCGAGTTCCGGACCTCGGTAATGTTTTCTAATTTGAAAAACATTTAAATATATATTTTGTACCAATAAAGAAAAATGGGTCAGCATGTAAATATCGCTCCCAGCGTTGATCAAAGCTCAGAGCGCATATATTCTTGATCTGACAGGTCTAATCTCGTCTGCCTCTTTGCGAACGAGTGGAATCAGGAAGACTGGTTTGTTCGTTATGTTTGCCTGCATCCCCTGGATTTGTCTCCCGGATGTGCTTATTTAGCAGCTCATTCACCACTCTCTGAAACGGCTAACTCCGCGCTCTCGCAGCACAGGCTGAGCGCCTGAGATGTGAAACGAGCTACCCCAGCTCACAGTCTGCTCAAGTAGCCAACTAGAGACGCTGCTGACAGTGTGTTTGTGAAATGCCGGACAAAAGGCAATTTAAAAACCATCCTGCGTCGCCTGCCGTGTCTTCAGACATCCCCAAACAAACAAAATCCGACTCTCGGAGAATGAGTGCACAACTGGTAAATAGTCGCTTATACTGTAGATATGTCAGTCAGTCAGGTGGCTAGAGACTTCTATTGCAGTAACGTTGAAGGGCTCTGGCTAGTATTACTTAGCCAGTTAGAAGGATGAAGTAAGAAGCTAACATTAAACGGAGCCTACCTCAGCAGCAGCAAAAACTATGCTACATAAAAAATAAGCTACATAATACATTTGCTTTATAGAGAATAGGCCACTGAGACAAACAGTGATGTGGGCATGTGGCACTCAGTGGTGAGGCTAAGGTAGGCTTCAATGCATGCAGGAGGAAGCAGAGGAGACAGAGAGAGAGAGAGAGGATGCAAGCAGAGAGAAAGGTTAGCACTGTGGTTCCCAAACTTGGGGCCACAGCCCCATGTGGGGTCCCCTGATAAATCTGTAGTAATCTTGTCAAACAAAAATAGATGATATGTTTCAATATGAACATCTCCACATGGCCTATCTTCCCTATAGGCCTACATTAAAATGCAATCAACATGCAAACAATACAGTTCTAAAAATGTCATAGGTTTTTGTTCGTCACTGATGCTACGTGTCAGTGTGACTCATTTCTCATATTTCCCTCTATCAGGGTATAATATTACAATTGTATAGCTAACAATGTGTTTGTAGATGGACAGAGGTGAATGAAGTTACAGCAACCAATGTGATATTGGCTGTGGTCTTTTTGCTTGTTTTTTGCTGTTCTCCAAATAGCGGTAAAGCTTGAACTCATTTACTGCAGGTTCAACCCCAACCCCCCTTCTCCCATCCCGGACTTCACTAAAACTCAAACCCTGGTTATGGCCCTGATGTAACTGTATAATACTGTACAGCTGGTGACTTGGTTTGGTTGGTCTTACATGATACAGATGTAGGATCTTAATTTGATCACTGTTTTGTTACTGAGAATGTTCCTGCACAGCAGGAAACGCAAACTTGTGGATTTTAGGTTTAAAAAGGCTTCTAAAGTTTGTAATTTCCACTTTGAAATTTCAGACTTGATTTGCCCTAATGAAAAAAATATCAACCCATACAAAAATGTCAATTAATTATAATCCACATAATAATTCACATATCCTGTTGCTGCAGGATTATTTTCCTGCTGTAGCAAACTGGCTCAAAATAAGATCCTACATCTGTACAGATGCTTTCGTATGTTTTCATTCTTCTGTGAAGTGTTGTTCCATTGCAGTGGTGTTGCATGGAGACAGTGTTTGAGTTGATGTGTGATTTGGCTTCACGGCACAATCTTTCCCTATACTGTACTGGCAGACTGCTAACCGCCATTTTCTCTCTAAAACCATTCAGAAGACCACTATATTTATGCAATGACATAGTGGAAGATCCCTTTTGAGTCAAACAGCAGCATAACTGGCATCATCACATGCTGTGATGTAGAGCTGTAATATACAACACATGGACACATAGATCATTACAAAGCGCTGTGTAGTTAACTAACTTGTTTCACTGCTATTCATTCTCCTCACAAGATATTTCACTCAGCAGTGTTTCTTGTGAGCCTCACCTCAGCTCGAGCTTGGCTACTAGGGTTCTATCAAACCTTGTTTTATGGAAAAATGTTTTTTTTTGTGTGTGTATACAATGTGTTTGCTGTCAACTTATTTGATCTTAGTGATGTAGTATACTTCAGTGATAAACAGCTCGCATTTGGAGAGTTTATTTGTTCTTTGAATCTCCTTGAAATGTTGATGTTATGATTACTGAAGTCCATGCAACTTACTTCTCAGACACAGCTTATGTCAATGTCTGTGTTTTGCTACTCCATTTTCCAGCTTTCAGATTCTAAAGTAAAATATCCCAAAGACAAGTTACCAGTTTTCATTGAATTTAGACCCACTTGCACTTGATCACGTAGAATACGTCAACCAACACAATAATGAACAATCATATGTGTCAAATGTGCCTGTTAAAACCTGGTGGTTAATCTGAGTAATCCTGATATGCATACAGCAGCAGTTCTGAGAAATATCCCATATTCCATTTGATGTAAAAAAAAAAAAGAAAGAAAGGGGAAACAGAGAGAAAATAAGGTAGTTGTCTTTCCCCACTAGCACTGACTGCTAATAACTACTCTGAGGGAAAATGTACTTGCTACGACTGTGATATGTGGTTGTCTCACCTAGCTATCTTAAAATGAATATACTAACTGTAAGTCGCTCTGGATAACAGTGTCTGCTGAATGACTAAAACGTAAATGTAAAAACCAAAGGAAGCAGCTTATCGCGGCAAGACCACTATTTCCCATGACGTAATTCCAAGTATAGGAAAGTGTAACAACCTTGTGGTCATGTGGGTCATTTGAGCAATTTATATGATCCTTTTAGCATGCCCCCAAATCTACTGAACAAGGCTGCTACAATATCTCACATTATTTCTCTCAACCTTAGTTTCAATGTCCATCTTTTCTAGCTCATCCACCAGATTGTGAAAGTGTAACTAGGTCAGCATTGCCTAAGCGAAACATGAAACATGACAACACAGCAGGAGTGGTTCAAAGGTCACTTCCTGTTGTCAAGGTCAGAGGTGATGATGTTGTTCTTCCAGCTCCAGATACATGTAATTGCTACCTGATGTCAACTGAGTTGAAGCAACAGGGGAATGTGTTTGGTTTTAGGTCATTACACCCTCACTCTTTAACCCGTGCCAACAAATGCCTTATTTATTAGCCAGCTGTATGTCTACACTGCCAATTTTACATTTTACAACCAAATATGGAAATATGGAGGTGTACTGTATGTCTTGGATTTCGTGCAGACAATTATCATGTGTATTCATTCATTCAGCACATGATCATGTGTGTTAGAAAATTTAGGTTGTTATTAGTTATTCTACGTGTGACTCTAGTAATGCTGTTCCTGACATCTGAAAAATGTCCCTGAAGTATTTTTTGGTCTGTCTCATCCATATGTTTGATGGTAATTTAGGTGTTTGATGGTACAGATGTAGGATCTTCATTTGATCACCCTGTTGCAGGAGAACTTTCCTTCAATGCAGGAAATATAAAATGTGTAGTGTATTTGAGGTTTAAAAAGGCTTCTGATGTTTCCCTTATGAAAAATCTATCAACCCCTACAAAAATGTCCATTAATTATAATAATTCACATTTCCTGTTGCTGCAGGATTATTTTCCTGCTGTAGCAAACTGGCTCAAATGAAGATCCTACACCTGTGCTGTAGGTGTAATGACACTAACAGCTGTATTAACTTGTTTGTGTTGTTCCTCTCCAGATCTCGGAGATCCATGTTTGCGGGGAGTCGGAGGACATGACAGCCAAGGAGCGTCTGCTGATGTGGTCCCAGCAGATGACCGAGGGCTACGTCGGCGTACGCTGTGACAACTTCACCACCTCCTGGAGGGACGGGAGGCTGTTCAACGCTATCATTCACAAATACAGGTAACACCATCATTCACAAATACAGGTAACACCATCATTCACAAATACAGGTAACACCATCATTCACAAATACAGGTAACACCATCATTCACAAATACAGGTAACACCATCATTCACAAATACAGGAAACACTTGAGATACAGAACCTGTATCTGAAAAAGAGACCCCTGTATCACCGATATTTTTATTTGAAAAATATATTCCAGCGCAGTGGCCTTCTTGAATGCTCTACAATGCTTTTTTAATGGATATTTCAAACATTTTTCCCGTCATTAGTCTTTCATCAGGGTTTAACTGTAATATCACCTTAGAAGTATATTCCCAGTGTATAATAACAACAATATACATAACAACATAACTATTTTCCTCCTCTGTTGACTTGCTGAGTCATGTCTGCGGTTCACCACCACATTTTGAATCATAGACCTCTCTGTTTCCCATCTTTCCAATGAGGCAGTACTTAGTGGTTTTGACTACCGGTAGTCATTAGGGGGCTGTTGGCTTTTCAGTTAGATAGTATCGGATTTCAGTATGACCCAGTACACTCTACGTCAGTGTTTCCCAACCCTGGTCCTCCAGTACCCCCAACAGTACACGTTGTTGTAACCCTGGTCAATGTCACATTATTATTTGCAGTCCAATCATTCTCAAGTTCAATGGACACATAACCAAACACAAGTTATTGATGTATGTGTGGGTCATGTAGAATTGTTTTACTTAACCATTGACCTATGTTGGGCTGGCCTAACTGTCCTTGTCTCTTGAGCAAAAACAGATTTATTTCACTGGAAAGTCTGGGACTGCACTCTGTCCCTAGGCATTTCCTCTGTAGTTAGCTTACTATTTACAGGCTTATTGCATTATGTTACAGGCTTATATTACATTATGTTACAGGCTTATATTGCATTATGTTACAGGCTTATATTAAATTGTTACAGGCTTATATTACATGATGTTACAGGCTTATATTGCATTATTTTACAGGCTTATATTACATTATGTTACAGGCTTATATTACATTATGTTACAGGCTTATATTGAATTATGTTACAGGCTTATATTGCATTATGTTACAGGCTTATATTACATTATGTTACAGGCTTATATTACATTATATTACAGGATTATATTACATTATGTTACAGGCTTATATTACATTATGTTACAGGCTTATATTACATTTTGTTACAGGCTCATATTACATTTGCTAGTCATCACACTAAAACTTTCCTCCAAACAAATATTTGTGTTCCTTGCTAATTAAACAAAACTATTCAAGAAGTATAGTGTGTGCTGAAACTGCCGAAATAACCTAAAACATGACAATGCAAACCACCCTAAATGATTATTTGCCAAAATACTACATTTGTGCCCTGTCTCTTCCAACATTATCGCATATTAACATTTCATAAAACAGAAAGCAGTCGATCTTAACGAGCTCCCACTGGTATGTTCTCTTCCATTGCAGGCCTGACCTGGTGGATATGGCCGGAGTGTCGGCCCAGACTAGCCGGTCAAACTTAGAACAGGCCTTTGGTGTGGCTGAACGGCTTGGGGTGGCCAGACTACTGGACCCTGAGGGTGAGTTCTTCTGTTTATCCACATGCTCTTCTCTAACGGTTTGTTTGCCACTGCAGGTTAACATTCTCCAAGCCATAGACACCTCTCTGCTACGGTAAATCAGCTGGAAGAAATGCAATGCATTATTACCAGAGGGAGGAGATGTCTTCTAAGCACAGCTTTACTTACTGACTGTTATTTGTTTTATTATATGGACGATGCTTTACAAAATGAAAAAGACACAACACGTAGATGAGATACATGAGATTCAAATCAAACATTGTATTCATGTCTGATTATAAATACTCCATTGTATTCATGTCTGATTATAAATACTCCATTGTATTCATGTGTGATTATAAATACTCCATTGTATCATGTACCTTACGACGATCACGTTGTGTATTGGGTCTTATTTCACCTTTTCTCACCAGATGTGGATGTGCAGACTCCTGATGAGAAGTCGGTCATCACATACGTCTCCACACTGTATGATGTCTTCCCTAAAGTACCTGATGGTGTTGACGGTATCAATGCAAATGTACGTACATGATGAACAGATTATTGTACGGTGCACTTAAGTGTCCTATGTGAGTAGAGTTATGGGATCGGATTTCAGTATGACCCAGTACACTCTACGTCAGTGTTTCCCAACCCTGGTCCTCCAGTACCCCCAACAGTACACATTGTTGTAGCCCTGGTCAATGTCACATGATTATTTGCAGTCCAATCATTCTCAAGTTCAATGGACACATAACCAAACACAAGTTTGGTTATGTGTCCATCAGGGATGTAGGTCAGTTGGTAGAGCATGGCGTTTGCAACGCCAGGGTTGTGGGTTCGATTCCAGTATGAAAAATAATAATAATAATAATGTATCCACTCACTAACTGTAAGTCGCTCTGGATAAGAGCGTCTGCTAAATGACTAAAATGTAAATGTAGTTAGAAAATAGTTTTATATTTCAAATACTGTATGATGAAGGCAAAATACACATCTCAATACAAAGCAACAATTTCCTATTGTCATCATGGGTTGACTTGTATCTTTGTAGCCATTGACTGCGGTCTATGCTGTCCTCTTGAAAGCAAAACCAGTACAATGTGCTTTTATGAATTTGATTATCACCATGGGACTTCACCATGGTTAAATCAACCACTGCATGTACAGTATATTTCACACTTACATCCTTTGAACTCACACCAGTTATACATCTTTTGGCATGACTTTGGCATACATTCTTGACTTTATTCTTGACTTGGTTCTCGACTGCGATTCTAAACTTGATTCTTGGCTGTGATTGGGCACGGATGTTATATGCACATATGCATTCCATTGCATCACTCATATGTCTAAGAGAAGGCATTTTATTCCGTCTGGCTTTGTTGAGGCAAATAAGTCTGGAAGCCTGAGATGGATGCTTAAAGGGAATATTTAAGTGCTGGAACCCCTCCCAGAACATTGTGTAAATGTTGTTTAGAGGCTATGGAAGAATGCTAAACTGTGAGTACTCTAGTAACCACAGTAAAGAACCTTAACTAGAGATGTAGGATCTTAATTTGACCCAGTTTGCTACTGCAGGAAAATAATCCTGCAGCCACAGTAAATGTGAATTATTATGTGGATTATAATTAATGGACATTTTTGTAGGGGTTGATACATTTTTCCTAAGCGAAAATCAGATCAAAAATTTCAAAGTAGAAATAAAAAATGTCAGAAGCATTTTTAAACCTCAAATTCACTACAAGTTTTAAATTTCCTGCGTTGCAGGAAAGTTCTCCTGCAACAGGTTTATCAAATTATGTTCCTACATCTGTACTTCTTGTTGTAGATTAGTTTGTATAGTACGAAATATTCAAAGCAATATTATGACAAGCTGTTGTTTTGCACATTGTACAATGCCAATATTTGCAGATGCCCTATAGCTCTAACATGTATTGCTTGAACGACACAATACGCTCTACACCAAGAACTTGGTCCATTTAGAAAATGCACCCATCCCTGCATGAGCCAATGTAAGGATGAAAACTGATATGTTTAATAATCCGATTTTCTTCTTGACAGGATGTTGATATAAAATGGGTAGAGTACCAGAACATGGTGAATTATCTGAGCCAGTGGCTCAAACACAACGTGGCAGTGATGTCAGACAGAGCGTTCCCTAACAACCCAGTGGAACTCAAGGTAAAGCAAAAAAATACAATTTGATTACAGATCAAATGCAGCTTGAATTTTCAGCCATACTGAATGGTAGAACTAGCCCTAGTTTGATCAAGAATTTACCTCCAAATAGCATCCAATGTCTGGTGTGTTTGTCTGGTTGGTTTTCAGTTAGCTGGATATCAGTTTATAGTGCTTGGCCCTGAAAGCCTGAGGCGAAGTACCCAAGCTCTCTGAGGCTTCAAATAGCCAATAAGTAGCGTCCCTCTCATGTTAATGAAATATTAAAGCGATATTGACGGGTATCAGAGAGCTTCTCCGTTTACTTCAAATAGTCCACAGCTGCTAAGACGACAGGAGCTCTGTGTGGTACAGCCATTTCAAAGCAGACGAGTGTGAGTATACACACTGAGATTAGATGAATATGTAATAGCATAGACAAAATGTATTGATTCTATATTTCTTAGATATTTTGCTATGTTAACATTGAACAAAATTATTATTATTATTTTTTTTTACAGGCACTTTATACACAGTACTTGCAGTTTAAAGAGAATGAAATCCCGCTGAAAGAAACTGAGAAGAGCAAAATCAAGCATCTTTACAAAATGCTCGAGGTATGCTACCGCGACATACACTCGGTTGTTCTTTAGTGCCTGTAAACTCTTTCTGAACCAACAAACTACAATGAACTTCACTAAGATGTTGCTGTGCGTGTGTTGGGGTACAGGTGTGGATCGAGTTTGGTCGTATCCAGCTACCTCAGGGATATCACCCCAACGATGTGGAGAAGGAATGGGGCAAACTGATCGTGGCCATGCTGGAGAGAGAGAAGAGCCTGAGGCCTGAGGTGGACAGGTATGAAGGATCATCCTTCTCATACTGCAGGAGCACCACACACTGCTGTGATTTATAATACCGATCCCATACTTACATGATAGCAATAAGTCAGAGCTAACTAAGATTGAAGATTTGAACCGATTGCAATGACTATGCCAAAAGGTATTTAATGATTGGTTTCAGGGTCAGTGGTGAGTGCTCTTGATTTAAGACACCCTTTTTTATTATTAGACTTTAGTGTCATATTTCTGTTTAAGGATGTGCAGTAATTGGATTATTCTGAGGTTCATTAAATTACATAGTCTTTACACTTTTACATGTTGTGGTCTGTGGTTTGGTGAACTGCTGAGTTCTTCAAACTGAGGTGTTGTAAAATCATGCGTCTTTCTCGTATCTCTTTATATCTAAAACACACTGTCCATGTCTCTTGTCAGGTTTGTAGGCATTACTTGTGGTGTGAGTCCATGCCTATCGGTTTAAGCTATTCAGTGATGTTTTTTTAGGTACTTTTGATTTTAAGTGCTGATGGTGGGTGTGCCCATAATTTTTTGTCAACATCAGTTTGCTTATGAGCTGACATTCTGACACAGTCACAGGCAACTCTTGTACTCTTACCATGTCATCATGCATCTATCATTCTTGGACTGCAGGTACTATTTATGTTGGAAATCACCTGGCTTGTTGATATCAGGTAATGTTGTGTGATATTATGTAGATAATGATTGTCTATGCAGACCAATAGAGGCCCAGTAGTAAGTGCCACACCCCCTGTTAAAGAGAAAAGGAATGTCTGCATCTCTGGTTCCCATGGTGATCTAATCAGACACACAAAAAAGATGACTCCTGTTACCATCAACTGTTACTGTCTGAACCTGTAATGGATTGTGCAAATGATACCATGAGGTTCTGTGGCCTAGGGCAACATATTCTTTAAGGGTGGGTTCCTGAACGTGAGGACAAGTACAGGCCTATAAAAGAGGGGAGACGAAAACCCTCTGTGCCAGTTGGACCTGTGTGTGTGTGTCGCATATCGTTGGGGCTGAGTCTGTGCTGGAGTTCCTGTCTTAGATGGAAGAGAAATTAGCTAGTTAGTGTGATTCTCTGAGTGGCTCGGTATAGTCCTATAGTCTTCCACCATGCACAGCAACATGGCATACAACATGGGATACAGCAGTGTCTCATCAGTTAGCAACAGCACTCTGACCAGCCTGGGTTCCTCTGAGAACCTCTCAGGACCAGCCATGGAGCCACTGCTCTCCAGCACCCCAGCCTTTCCAGTGTTTCTCAATAACAATTCTTTCTATGGACCAAGGTGAGGTTAACCATTAGAAGTCAGGGCTGTCAGAGTTTTCTTGTTGTTGATTTTTTTCTGCAGAGGCGATTTTCAAATGGAACTCTGATGGCACTGCATTGCCACATCTGTTTTGTTTATGTGGTAAAATTACTTCTGTACAATATTTATGTAAATTGACTTGTCTTTTAGGCTTGAAATGTTGCAGCAGATTGCCACCAGGGTCCAGCGGGACTGTGTCACAGGAGAGGACAAACTAGCATTAGCAAGAGCAGCTCTGCAGTCTGTAAGTACCACATTGGAACAGCATGTTTACCACACAACCTCAGAATACTCCAGGTCCTGCTTTTACTTATGTTTATTTGTTGAGGCAAATTTTGTGTGTCTTTATTTTTTAATATCATTATTGTTATTGAACTTTGTAATAGAAAAGTAAATGACCCAAAAAAAATTCTCAGGATGCTAAGAGGTTAGAGTCTGGGGTCCAGTTCCAGAATGAGGCAGAGACTGCTGGGCACCTTCTGGAATGTGAAAACCTGCTGAGACAGCAGGTGGTGGATATCCAGATTCTACTGGACGGGAAGTACTACTACTCTGATCAGCTTGTTCAAAGGTACAAACTCACTGCTTTCTTAGAAATTAAGGAAACATTTGTTGTGAAATGTTGATTGTAACATAGTGTAGGGAATTTCAACAACAAAACATTCTGAATGATAAGCACCTCATGTAAACTGATAAATGATAAATCATGAACTATATTAATAAACATGTCATTGTGTGTTGTGTAACTTTTGTGTATGATCTAGGGTATCCAAGCTTCGTGACGACCTGCTGGGCCTGAGGGCAGAGTGTTCCTCTGTGTACAGCCAAGGACGCACCCTGACAACCGAACAGACCAAGATGATGATCTCAGGCATCACTCAGAGTCTTAACTCAGGCTTCTCCTCCTCGAACCTCAATTCCAGCCTCACCCCAGCCCTCACCCCTGGAGGCCTGGGAACCCCCGGTTCCACCTTCACCTCCATCCTGACCCCGGGCCTCACCCCTGCCCTGAGCCCCGCCTTGACCCCCGGCGGCATGCAGCCCGGCTCGGTGCAGGCCTACATGGGGGGCGGAGGTATGGACCCGGGGGACCTCCAGCACCTCAAACAAATGCAGATCCGCAAGCCCCTGGGCAAGTCCTCACTAGTGGACCCCAACATGACCGAGGATGAGGTCAACATGAACTTTGTGCAGGACCTGATCAACTGGGTGGAGGAGATGCAGGTGAGGACATAGCGAAGCTCCGGTGTCAGCTGTCGATTTTATTTATTTTTCCTTATTTATACAGGTTGTCTCATTGAGATTAAAATATATGTTTTACAAGAGACCTGTTCACTATAATGTTAGTATAATTCTGTACATTTTGATATTTGTGATTTAGACATTTGAGACCAATTCTGAATAGTTTTGTCTTCCTTTGAAGGTGCAGTTGGATCGTGGAGATTGGGGGTCCGATTTGCCAAGTGTGGAAACACATTTAGAGAACCACAAAGAGGTTCACAGAACCATCGAAGAATTTCAAATGAGCCTTAAAGAAGCCAAACTTAGTGAGGTATGTACAAGCAACTGTCAGCCTATTCTGATATTCTAGTCTGGAAAAAACTTCAAAATATCTCTGTGCATCACATTCAATTGTTTTGTTTTGAGTGTAAACTCCTTAATGCTGCAAGGTTTTTAAATGGCAACGAATATAAACATATGGTATGTCTCTTTATCTCAGATTCAGATGACCCAAAAACTAGGTTATTCTGAGAAACTGGACAAATTAGAAACCCAGTATGGGAAGTTACTGGTAAGTATCCTGTTAAAATCCTTGGCACTCCTAGGTAACAAAATAATCCCTTCACTGCTTTGTTGAATACCACATGGAGATTCTATTTCCCATGGTTCTGTGCTTCTGTAGAACTGTTCGCGGGAGCGTCAGAAGAACCTGGAGAGCCTCCATGACTTTGTGTCGCGAGCCACCATGGAACTCATCTGGCTCAATGAGAAAGAGGAGGAGGAGGTCGCCTTCGACTGGAGCGATCGCAACGGCAACATCTCCAAGAAGACAGAGTACCACGCTGTGAGTCCCTCCACTGTTCAGCTCATTGTATTTCTATTTTGTTAATAGAATATTTGGCTATTCGGGCACATCTGAGCATAACTCAGTTCATATTCATTATTGTAGATATTTTAGAATGAGTTGAATATTATAAACGGTTAAGTGAAACCGTAGAGCTATTCATTAATGGCATGGATCCACCATTGGCATGTATAGCCTTTCCACAAGGAAGTGGGTTTGACTCTCTAGACCTAAGGGACCTTGAGGTGATCATATCTCCTAGGGTGATGTGTTTTCTCATGTTTCGCATAGGTGGAAAGGAATTACAGGGGCTTGTTTTGGGCTTACAGCATACCATTAGAAAATACCACTGGGAGTCTATATTACTGACGTTCTATTCAGCTTGATTCAGTTAATCAGTTTGACATCTCTCCAAACTACTTTATTTCCAGCTGGCATTTAGAAATGCATGTACGTGCTCCTGCAAATCATGGTGTTAGTAGAGGGGAGGGGATTGTTCTCAGGCCATGTTTGGATTCCGTGGATGCAGTGTGATGTCTCTGTCTCTCTGTCTCTCTGTCTCTCTGTCTCTCTCTCTCTCTCTCTCTCTCTCTCTCTCTCTCTCTCTCTCTCTCTCTCTCTCTCTCTCTCTCTCTCTCTCTCTCTCTCTCTCTCTCGTTAGGATCTGATGAGAGAGTTGGATGAAAAGGAGGAGGTGATCAAGTCTGTACAGGACAGGGCAGAGAACCTTCTGCAGGAGAACCACCCTGCCAGGTTAACTATTGAAGTAAGCCCTGTCTGTGTTTACAGATGTCACATAACCACTCCAGAACCATGTGATATAAACTCCTTTTATGATAAATCCGTTAGATTGTAATTGTCAGATAATGTGGTAATTTGTCCATTAAAATATAAATATTATTACTAATTTTCAGCTATCAAAACCGGCATAAGTGCTCAATAATATTGTATATTTCAATTGCTTCACTAACCTGTTCCAACAAGAACAATTATACAGTATTTTTAATTCTAACATATTTATGTGTGGAATACTCCAGGCATACAAAGCAGCCATGCAGACCCAGTGGAGTTGGATCCTACAGCTCTGCTCTTGTGTGGAGCAGCACCTCAAAGACAACACAGTCTATTTTGAGGTGAGTTAGTTATCTGCTTTCCTCAAACAAATGGATGGAGGCCTGCTAGTTGCAAAAAGCTCATCTGATCATCTTTTTCCCTTCCATATAGTTTTTCAATGATGCCAAAGAGTCCACGGATTATCTGAAGAGCCTACAAGGTGACATCCAAAGAAAGTATGGCTGTGATCGGACAAGCAGCGTACACAAGCTGGAGGATCACATTCAGGAGTCCATGGTAAGCTGGCAAATAAAAACTGGTTGGTACACAATCATTAGCCACATTCCCAAACTATGTTGTTAAATGAGACGCATGGATCAATCTCGTGGACTGACATGGTCAGAAATCCAAATATGGTTCCAAATGAATACCCTACCATTAAAGATGAACTAACTATCCCTGTGAGAGCTGGTGTGGTATCGTAATCCCCCTGTGTTTGACTGGTGCTGGAACAGGATGAGAAGGAACAGCTCCTCCAGTACCGCAGCACAGTGGCTGGGTTGGTGGGCAAGGCCAAGGCCATCGTCCAGCTCAAGCCTAGGAACCCAGATACCCCTGTCAGGTCTTCCATACCCGTCAAAGCCATCTGTGACTACCGACAAATAGAGGTGCTATGTCTCTTTTTAAAGATATTTAATACTGTTCTTTTTCGGTCTATTCAAGTAGTTCATCACAAGTCACATACTTTGAGTCTTCACACTTATATTCTGTAGTAACAAGATGTGCATTGATCTCTAAGGAATGTTTATAGCCATGTTAAATCGAGGTAGATGTATTTAGATAGCAGATCAAAAGTTTGATACTTTGAGTTGATTTGGATAGATTTCAGAGTGAAATGGTAGAGTCGTTTTGATTTGTCATGTCTCACTTCGTCTCTCCTAGATCACCATCTATAAAGATGACGAGTGTGTCCTGGCCAGTAACTCTCACCGGGCCAAGTGGAAGGTGATCAGTCCGTCTGGGAACGAGGCCATGGTACCCTCTGTCTGCTTCACCGTGCCTCCACCCAACAAGGAGGCTGTGGACCAGGCCAGCAGAATTGAGCAGCTGTACCAGAATGTCCTGGCTCTGTGGCACCACTCCCACATCAAAATGAAGAGCGTGGTCTCCTGGCACTACCTAATGGCTGACGTCAGAGCCATCCGCAACTGGAACGTTTCCTCAGTACGTTAATGCTTATCTACTTAATCTACTTCTCAAGATAAGTCCCCATTAGCAACACTTAAACCCTAGTATTACAGTGATAGAGGTATAATTACGTGTCATCGTCTCATTTAGGTCTTCACAGAAAAGATAATTACTGTTATTGAGCCTAATGTTTCCCATATTCACCAACATTACCTGCAATTTCATCATTATATTGCAGTTTGTGCTGGCTGTACCTTTTCAGAGAACATTTCTATAAGGTTTCAAGGTGTGGGTCTGTCTCATGTGTTTTCCCCTGTTCTCCCCAGATTAAGACCATGTTGCCAGGCGAGCACCAGCAGGTCCTTAGCAACCTGCAGTCCCACTTTGAGGACTTCCTGGAGGACAGCAAGGAGTCAGAGGTGTTCACTGTGGCAGACTGTTCCCAGCTAGAGAGAGAGGTGCTGGCCTGCAAGGACTACTACGAGGAGCTGCTCAAGTCTGCAGAGAGAGGCAAGGCTAAGCAAAGATAGTCTAGAGAAAGGCAATGCTAAACTAAGATAGTCTGCAGAGAGAGGCAAGGCTAAGCTAAGCTAGTCTGCAGAGAGAGGCTAAGCGAAGCTAGTCTATAGAGAGTCAAGGCTAAGCAAAGCTAGTCTGCAGAGAGAGGCAAGGCTAAGCTAAGCTAGTATGCAGAGAGAGGCAAGGCTAAGCTAAGCTAGTCTGCAGAGAGAGGCAAGGCTAAGCGAAGCTAGTCTAGAGAAAGGCTAAGCGAAGCTAGTCTAGAGAGAGGCAAGGCTAGGCTAAGCGAAGCTATTCTAGAGAGAGGCAAGGCTAAGCTAAGCTAAGATAGTCTGCAGAGAGAGGAAAGGCTAAGCGAAGCTAGTCTAGAGAGAGGCAAGGCTAAGCTAAGCTAAGATAGTCTGCAGAGAGAGGAAAGGCTAAGCGAAGCTAGTCTAGAGAGAGGCAAGGCTAAGCTAAGCTAAGATAGTCTGCAGAGAGAGGCAAGGCTAAGCAAAGCTAGTCTAGAGAGAGGCAAGGTTTATCTATGCTAGTCTGAAGAGAGAGGTAAGGCTAAGCTAAGATACACTATATATACAAAAGTATGTCAACTATTAGCTAGCCTCTACTGTCCCTGCTAACAGGAGCTTGCTGATACATGTTTTGGCAGCAGTCCTCGAGGAAAACACATAGTTCTTTAAGCCTATTAGGCATAAAGCTAATACCTTATGGAATTATGTTTGAACCTGCCCGGGTTCCCATGGCCAGAACTGTAGGAAAAGTGTGTTTGTGTGTGTGTGGATGTACAGATGTGTGTGTGTGGGGGGGGGGTGTGTGTGTGTGTGTGTGTGTGTGTGTGTGTGTCAAATAAAATAAAATGTCAAATCAAATCAAATGTGTTTATAAAGCCCTTTTTACATCAGCAGATGTCACAAAGTGCTTATATAGAAACCCAGCCGAAAACCCCAAACAGCAAGCAATGCAGATGTAGAAGCATGGTGTACATTTCCCCTAGACTTATGATTGTCTGTTTAAGATTATTGGTGTTATGTCACCAAAGGTAGTAGAATCTCCTGCAGACAACGTTAAGTAGGTGTTGATCTGCTTGATTGCCCACTAATTAATCTGCATGATTAATGAGTAATAAGCAGATTGTTTGTAAACACTTTGCAATAATGGTGCCAGATTGTATTAATGATGCCAGAGGTGTACTTATTCTGTGGTCTTGTGTTGGACAGAGGAACACGAGGAGTCTGTGTACAACCTGTATATCTCTGAGGTGCGTAACTTCCGCATGCGTCTGGAGGCCCAAGAGGAGCACTTAATCCGACAGATCCGCACCCCACTGGACAGAGACGACCTGGAGCAAAGTGTCCTGCGCATCACAGAGCAAGAGGTAGGGCGACAACTCACTATTCAGACTGTATCATCACTCTGTCATATTATAACTCACTATGCAGACTGTATCATCACTCTGTCATATTACAACTCACTATTCAGACTGTATCATCACCCTGTCATATTATAACTCACTATTCAGACTGTATCATCACTCTGTCATATTACAACTCACTATTCAGACTATCATCACTCTGTCATATTACAACTCACTATTCAGACTGTATCATCACCCTGTCATATTACAACTCACTATTCAGACTGTATCATCACTCTGTCATATTACAACTCACTATTCAGACTGTATCATCACTCTGTCATATTATAACTCACTATTCAGACTGTATCATCACTGTCATATTACAACTCACTATTCAGACTGTATCATCACTCTGTCATATTACAACTCACTATTCAGACTGTATCATCACTCTGTCATATTACAACTCACTATTCAGACTGTATCATCACTCTGTCATATTACAACTCACTATTCAGACTGTATCATCACTCTGTCATATTACAACTCACTATTCAGACTGTATCATCACTCTGTCATATTACAACTCACTATTCAGACTGTATCATCACTCTGTCATATTACAACACTATTCAGGCTGTATCATCACTCTGTCATATTACAACTCACTATTCAGGCTGTATCATCACTCTGTCATATTATAACTCACTATTCAGACAGTATCATCACTCTGTCATATTACAACTCACTATTCAGACTGTATCATCACTCTGTCATATTACAACTCACTATTCAGACTGTATCATCACTCTGTCATATTACAACTCACTATTCAGACTGTATCATCACTCTGTCATATTACAACTCACTATTCAGGCTGTATCATCACTCTGTCATATTATAACTCACTATTCAGACAGTATCATCACTCTGTCATATTACAACTCACTATTCAGACTGTATCATCACTCTGTCATATTACAACTCACTATTCAGACAGTATCATCACTCTGTCATATTACAACTCACTATTCAGGCTGTATCATCACTCTGTCATACACATTATTAATCTTATATTTTCCAGACATGGGTCAAATACATTATGTAAAATACGTCTGTGGTTGATTTACTTTGCCAGGTACAATGGAACCAACGGAATAGTCTCATAAGTGTTAACTTCAAGACAAACCAAGCACACCTCAGAAATTATCAAGTATTTCATGTACTGTATGTATTTGACCCAGGTGTGATCGGTTCACATTGACTTAACCTCTCCAACTTTGTCCCTTGCAGAAGAAGAAGGCAGAGCTGGACCAGCTGAAGGAGGATCTGGAGACCGTGAAGGAGAAGTGTGAGATGTTCCTCAGACAGGCCGGGGCCTCTCCCGCTGTCCCCACCCTCTCCTCTGACCTCAACGTCCTCATCCAAAGCATGAGCCAAGTCTACTCCATGTCTGCCATCTACCTTGAGAAGTAAGTGGCCCAGACACTGTTATGGTCCTCCTCAGTAGAGGGCCCAGACACTGTTACGGTCCTCCTCAGTAGAGGGCCCAGACACTGTTACGGTCCTCCTCAGTAGAGGGCTTAGACACTGTTACGGTCCTCCTCAGTAGAGGGCTTAGACACTGTTACGGTCCTCCTCAGTAGAGGGCTCAGACACTGTTATGGTCCTCCTCAGTAGAGGGCCCAGACACTGTTATGGTCCTCCTCAATAGAGGGCTCAGACACTGTTACGGTCCACCTCAGTAGAGGGCCCAGACACTGTTACGGTCCTCCTCAATAGAGGGCTCAGACACTGTTACGGTCCTCCTCAGTAGAGGGCCCAGACACTGTTACGGTCCACCTCAGTAGAGGGCCCAGACACTGTTACGGTCCTCCTCAATAGAGGGCTCAGACACTGTTACGGTCCTCCTCAGTAGAGGGCTCAGACACTGTTATGGTCCTCCTCAGTAGAGGGCTCAGACACTGTTATGGTCCTCCTCAGTAGAGGGCTAGAATATTCTCAGCACATTCTAAATCAACAAGGCATTTGCAATTAGTTTTTATCGTCCCACTTTAAACGCAACTTTAAAGCCTTTATGAAGCCTTCATAAACCCTTTATAAGGACTTTACAGATGCTTTACAAAATGTCACACTGTCTCTGTGGTGTCTCTGCAGGCTGAAGACAGTGAGCTTGGTGGTGAGGCACAGCCAGAGTGCGGAGGCTCTAGTGAAGCTCTATGAGGCCAAACTCTCTGAGGAAGACGCCGTGAACTCTGACCTGAGTTCCATCGACACAGTCGTCAGCACACTCAAGGTAAGCTCCCTTGGTACTAGGTTTTTATAGACATTTAAAATGGCAATATATCCTATTTAGTCTTTTCTCTCAGGTTGGCAAAATGATTGATGGAGATGAATTGTTCTTTTGTGGCATCCGGTCCTTGAGAGCCACTATTAAGACATGATTCATAGTTGAGCCATCACTTCGCTCTACTCTGTTTTAGCAATGGCGCTCAGAGATCGACGAACAGAGGGAGATCTTCCATGACCTGGAGGATGGGCTGCAGAAGGCCCGTGGCATCAGCGAACGCATGTTCAAGGCCCACAACGAGCGGGACTTTGACCTGGACTGGCACAAGGAGAAGGCTGACCAGCTGGAAGAAAGGTGGAACAATGTCCACTCCCAGATTGAGAGCAGGTTAGTGTTTTCAGGTTAGCTCAAATGTTGAGGGACAGAGTTTGATTCCATACACCAGTAAATAGTAGTGAGGAACACTACTTGAACAAGGGGAATGTAAAAATAACCTTTTACGAATACTAAGGCTCCTTTATTATATTAGACTTCGGGACCTGGAGGGCATCAGTAAATCTCTGAAGTACTACAAAGACTCCTACAGCAGTCTGGATGAGTGGGTCAGAGAAATGGAGGCTGCTCAGCTCAAGACCCAGGAGAAGCAGCCAGAGGACAGCAAGGCGCTCGCTGAGCTTGTAAACCAACAGAAGGTCCTCGTTGCAGAAATGGAACATAAGCAGAGCAGAATTGATGAATGCCAAAAGTACTCCGAGCAGTACTCATCTGGCGCTAAAGTAAGTTATCTCTGTAACTGTTTTGACCTGGAACATCTGACAGATATGTCTGCATGAAGAGCACTTGAACACCAGATTAGTAATATTCCCCAATGTGTTTTCAGGATTATGAGCTACAGCTGTTGACCTACAGAGCCATGGTTGACTCCCAGCACAAGTCCCCGCTCAAGAGACGGAGGATGCAGAACTCGGCTGATGCTATCATTCAGGAGGTGAGAACCTTGGAATGGAACCGTAGTAGACTAGGTGCTGAGTGTGCTGTGTGTGCTAAGGAAAGTGACCCTTGTTTTCCACCCTCACCTCAGTTCATGGAGCTCAGAACTCGCTACACGGCCGTAGTCACCTCCATGACGCAGTATGTAAAGTTTGCAAGTGAGACGTTGAAGAGAACAGAAGGCGAAGAGGTAGGGGATTGGTGAAATATTAGATTGTTAGAAGCGCTTTGCATACTTTGGAATGCCTTTTCTCTCCCCATCACATTATTGTGTTAACAGGGTTGACTCCCAGACATATTGAATTAATGGGAACCTCACCTTTAAAGCCATAAATATGATGCTTCAACTCAAAGGGTTTATTTCTCTTCACTGC